TCTGAGGGGACGGCATGTCCCTTATAAAGCAAAATTACATCATATGCATTGTCAGAGATAACATGGAATAATACATCAATAATTGGTTAGGTGTTAAGTGGTTCATTTAGTGCTCTTCCTACCGGGTATGATGTCACTGGTATCTTGGAGGTCTCCCCCAGATTCCAGCGCCATCTTGTTAATGAGGGTGTTAGTCGATGTCAAAGGGAAACTCCCTAGCGGCCATTTTAGGTAAATCACATAGAAAGTTGAATAATGCTGATTGTAGTTATACTGAGTAAATAGGTATTTTACCAACATGGATTGGGTTAATATTTTTGACCACAACAGTCCCCCCTTAAAATGATTATTTACGAAAGAGAGAGACAACTACTAACTAACCCTAATGATGTCCCTAATTAGCTGCAGCTCATCTGTCTCTACAGGCAGGAGTCTGACTCAGGAGATGTAGTGGGTTAGCTGCTGCAGGATACCTGCGCAGTGAAGCGTTCGGCTTCACTGCGCAGGTATCCTGCAGCAGCTAACCCACTACATCTCCTGAGTCAGACTCCTGCCTGTAGAGACAGACGCTGTCCCTATACTATCCCTACATGGAAGTAGTTGTCTGTTTGAGGTGGTGGGACTGAAGAGGTGTGTATGGGGTGTCACAGTCCATATCGTCGATATCCTGATGTAGGAATGTAGGTGTAGTGCGGTCAATAGTCTGACCTACAGTCGTCTGTAAATATTTCTGCACACAGGGCATCACACAACAAATCAGGAAGAGAAAGAGTATTACCACAGTAAGTACTGCCATACCTACTTGTAGGAGAGTTTTCTGTCATCGACTCATCCATCCAAACCATCTGTCCCATGAATTGGGGACTCCCGAATTCCTCTTTAATTCGTCAGAAAGACTTTCTAATTTCTCTATAGCCATGGTTACCTTACCGTTGGGGCCTGCATTGTCTGGGATGAAGGTACAGCATGTTATAGTATCGGGGAGTATTTTACACATGCCCCCTTTTTCTGCTAGGATCATGTCTAAGGCCATTCGATTCTGAAATGTCATTTGGGAGGTAGTCTGTAACTGTTCTGCCAAGCCCTGATAATTGACAAATCTCTAGTATAATTGACAAATCGTTGCTGGTTATATGGCAGAATATTTGATAGAGTCCTAACCTCAACATATGAGGAAAGGGATTTAGGGGTGATTATTTCTGATGACTTAAAGGTAGGCAGACAATGTAATAGAGCAGCAGGAAATGCTAGCAGAATGCTTGGTTGTATAGGGAGAGGTATTAGCAGTAGAAAGAGGGAAGTGCTCATGCCATTGTACAGAACACTGGTGAGACCTCACTTGGAGTATTGTACACAGTACTGGAGACCGTATCTTCAGAAGGATATTGATACCTTAGAGAGGGTTCAGAGAAGGGCTACTAAACTGGTTCATGGATTGCGGGATAAAACTTACCAGGAAAGGTTAAAGGATCTTAACATGTATAGCTTGGAGGAAAGACGAGACAGGGGGGATATGATAGAAACATTTAAATATATAAAGGGAATCAACACAGTAAAGGAGGAGACTATATTTAAAAGAAGAAAAACTACCACAACAAGAGGACATAGTCTTAAATTAGAGGGACAAAGGTTTAAAAATAATATCAGGAAGTATTACTTTACTGAGAGGGTAGTGGATGCATGGAATAGCCTTCCAGCTGAAGTGGTAGAGGTTAACACAGTAAAGGGGTTTAAGCATGCATGGGATAGGCATAAGGCTATCCTAACTATAAGATAAGGCTAGGGACTAATGAAAGTTTTTAGAAAATTGGGCAGACTAGATGGGCCGAATGGTTCTTATCTGCCGTCACATTCTATGTTTCTATGTTTCTATGTTATAGTAGATATAATTGATCCAGTTAACATTCTTGTTAGCGGTAATGAGTGGGATCAAGGATTCGAATCCTGCCGCCACCTCATCTCTAGCCTTGAATTCATTTGGTACTCCCCCTTGGTACTCCAATGGCATCGATATATATGTATGGGTCGAAACTACCTCGAATGCGGGTTTCTCTTTTTACTCTAAGATATGTGTGTGGTGAATCATGTGGGCCTTGGTGGTTATCAGAAATTATAGTTATGGGCATGATAGCTTTCGTCAGAGTACATTCTCCCCACCACAGGCCAGTCATTTTTAATCTGAGCTGCATGTCACCACATAGCCAATAAATGTCTCCCACGGACTTAACTTGATTTACTAATAGGGCAGTGGGAGGTTCTCAATAAGTGGTACAGTAGTCAGAAGTTAATTTACCTACAAATTTACCTGTGGCTCCATGTATTGTGTAGCAAGTGTAGTTACCTGGGTACACGGTGATTCCATCAGGTATTCCCTTGGGTTATTTGGTAAACCTTTCTCCATAATTCACACACTGATGAATTCACTGCTGACTGTGCATAAAGGCTTAAGAAACACATCTCAACATCTGGAGGTAGATTTAAAGGCACTGTACCCAGATGGGGTCTGGTCCCACCATAAACATAACAGTTAGTTTTGTTGTGTGAATTAGTATTATACCTCATCCATTCAAGCCATAGATTAGTATCTGAAAACCCGGTGTCCACAGCCATAGTGTCTTCAAATGTAGGATTGGCAATGGCTACCATGTCTTTAAGGGTTTTAATGTGTGGTTTTAGAGGGTTAATGGTCATGTGTGTGGAGTCTACCCAGTCAGGTGACGTAAGCATGTCTTGTAAATAAAAGGTCCCCAACTTGTTATGTGAGCCACCCCCTTTCCAATACATTCCCATTACATACTCCCCACCGTCTCCTGGGCTGGGATGTTCTATGTTTAAGGTGAGTTTCATTGGGGTAGACCCTGTTGGCTTACATAAGGTCATTCTGTATAACAAGGGTTTCCCATATCGTTCAATCCTATCTAAGGCGCTTTGTGGTCTGTAGCCCCATGGTCGGCCCGTATTCCAACCCGCGGCTTTCCAGGTACTACAATGATGTCCCCAATGGTCACCTGTCACACAAATATATGGGTCCTTTTTGTTTGGTATGTCTTTGTATATTGCTGAGTGTTGTGATTGTGGAAAAGTACAAGAGACAATATCACAGTAATCAAAGGTGAAAGTAGCTAAGTGTGTGTTTGAAGAATTATACCAAAATGTGTAAACATGATTGTCTTTGGTAATAGCAACTTGTTGGGCCTTTGATAGGCCTAGCAGCAGAAATAGGCACAGGAATCTCATGTTTTGGCGGAATCTGCTCCCTCTGGATCAGGAACTTTCTTGCAGTGCAAGGCGTGTATCAAGGTATTCTTCCCGGCCAACTTTACAGAGGTAGATGTAGTCAATAGGACTTGGAATGGACCATCAAACCTTGGCTCAAGAGTGTGTTTTCTTAGGAACTTCTTGACCATGACCCAGTCACCAGGAAGTAGCTTATGTGTTTTACTCTGGATCTGGAATAGAAGAAAACACCTGTGCATGGATTTTGGTCAAGGCATGAGAGAGTGCAGTTATATAATCTACCATTACATCTGACTGAATTTGAAGTTGCTGAGGAAAGTAACAGCCTAACCTAGGTGCTGTTCCAAATAAGATTTCAAAGGGGGATAAGTTAAACCTCCCTCTTGGGGTGTACCTTACACTAAACAATGCTATGGGAAGACTCTCCGGCCAGGGTAGGTTAGTTTCTTGGGACATTTTAAGCATTCTGGCTTTCAGAGTGCCATTCATGCGTTCTACCTTACCACTACTCTGTGGGTGATAGGGTGTGTGGAATGCAAGGGTGCTGCCCAGATCTCCTTAGTTAGCTTTCAATTACTTCAGGAATTCCATATCTGCAAATGATTTCGGTAAGTAGACGCTTCGCCCTGGTCTTTGCAGTGAGATTAGCAGACGTAAAAGCTTCTGGCCATCCTGAAAACATATCGACTATGACCAGTGCGTATTCATACTGGCCACTCTTTGGCATTTGGATATGATCAATTTGGATCCTCTGGAAAGGGTACTGTGGTTTGGCCAAATGGTTTGGTGCAGCTTTAATTATTTTCCCGGGGTTACATCTGGCGCAGATGGTACAGAATCTGCAATAATTTTGTGTCAAGATGGTGATTCCGGGTGCTTTAAAATATTTATCAATCAAAGAGTTCATGAGGTGCTTAGATAAGTGAGCTGGTCCATGGGCCCACTGAACGACAGCTGTATACATATTCTTGGGTAGTCAGAATTTGAGATTGATTGTGTATACTTCATTCTGGAGGGTTGCTCCTTGGTCTTTCCAGCTTTGTTTTTCTTGTGGGGTGGCGGCGGCCTGTTGTTCTCTTAGGAGCTTGAGATCGGTGGGTAGGGTTTGCATAGTATAAATAGGAGTCTTTTCCATGGACACTCTTCTGTCCACTTCCCGACAGTGGCGTGCCGCATCCTTAGCGGCCTGTTCGGCTAAGTGGTTGCCATGTGCTTCTTCTGAATTCAGTCTACCATGGGCCTTTACCTTCAGTATGGCCACCTCTTCAGGAAGTAGTAAGGCATCCATCAATTCTTTGATAGCTGCACCATGTTTCACAGGCGTACCTGTTGCTGTAAGGAACCCCCTGGTTTTCCAGATTAAGCCAAAGTCATGTGCCATGCCCAGGGCATACCTTGAGTCTGTATAAATATTAACACGTTTCCCTTCAGACATCTTGCATGCCACCGTAAGGGCTATTAGTTCGGTTTCTTGTGCTGACTTAGATGATGGGAGTGAAGATGCTTGGAGTATTTGGTCCTCTGTGGTGACTGCATATCCGATATGATATTGTCCCTGCACATCTGCGAATCATGAACCATCCACAAACAGAGTGTAGTCAGGGTCAGGTAGGGCAGCCTCGTGCACTGTTGGGAGATGAGTTGTTTCCATTTTTATCTGTTCAAAGCAATCATGAGGGGCGTCCGGGTCCTGTTCTGTAGGAGGGATGTCTTCACATATGTCTGTGTGATATCGAGGGTAACCGACAGTTTTGCAATTTATTGTCCTTTTAGTGGCCCCCGTCAATGTGAGCTGTTCTTGAGTTGCAGTACTCCATGTCTTGGCCATTGGGCCGAGTTCTTTCCATGAGAGATCTGGAGACTTGGTGAAAGAGGTATGAGGAACAGCCACCGCCCAATGGTGATATAAATGTGATACCTCCATAGGCAGGTAGACTAAGATAACAATGTTTCCTTTGGAGTCACAGAGTGATGTGTATTTCCACCAGGCTGAATAATTCTTCTTCATAGTATGGGTCAGGCCCTGGGGTGTTCCTGAACCACAGGGTGCAATGTAAGTAGCTCTCGGGCTGTTCATCATGTGGAACTGTGGGCTTTTCTACTTGAAGTTCCATGTGAAAGTCAGGATTTATGTCCAGGCTGTACCAGTATTGCGGCACTCCCCCCTTGGGAAGTGGCAGAAGAGTGACCGGATTCAGGGAGTAACATCTTTGTAAAGTAACATTATCAGGCAAGAGGAGGGAGGTTTGAAGGCGGAGATGTCTCTGAGATGAGAGATGTTTTGGCTGATTCAGGATGGCAGCGATATCATGGGGAGCAAGAACCGTCAGTTGATGTCCGAGAACAAAGTCATTAGTTTTGTCCAGCAGGGCACTGGCAGCAAAAACAGCACGCAAACAGGAAGGACCACCCCTGGCCACAGGGTCTAGCATGCAGGAAAAGTACCCAATAGGGCGCTGACGGGAACCGTGGGATTGAGTTAGGACCCCTGAAGCATGGCCCATCTTCTCTGAGACGAAAAGTTTGAACGGTAGCTGGTAGTTAGGTAGCCCCAAAGCAGGGGCGGAGGAGATGGCTCTTTGAAGGGCATGGTAACAGGTGCGGGCTGTAGAGGACAATGAAAAAGGTTCAGTCTTCAAAGCATCGTAGAGAGGTTGCATGAGTTGAGAAGCCTCAGGGATCCAAGGCCTGCAGTATGTGATGAGGCCTAAGAAACATAGAAACATAGAATGTGACGGCAGATAAGAACCATTCGGCCCATCTAGTCTGCCCAATTTTCTAAATACTTTCATTAGTCCCTAGTCTTATCTTATAGTTAGGATAGCCTTATGCCTATCCCACGCATGCTTAAACTCCTTTACTGTGTTAACCTCTACCACTTCAGCTGGAAGGCTATTCCATGCATCCACTACCCTCTCAGTAAAGTAATACTTCCTGATATTATTTTTAAACCTTTGTCCCTCTAATTTAAGACTATGTCCTCTTGTTGTGGTAGTTTTTCTTCTTTTAAATATAGTCTCCTCCTTTACTGTGTTGATTCCCTTTATGTATTTAAATGTTTCTATCATATCCCCCCTGTCTCGTCTTTCCTCCAAGCTATACATGTTAAGATCCTTTAACCTTTCCTGGTAAGTTTTATCCCGCAATCCATGAATCAGTTTAGTAGCCCTTCTCTGAACCCTCTCTAAGGTATCAATATCCTTCTGAAGATACGGTCTCCAGTACTGTGTACAATACTCCAAGTGAGGTCTCACCAGTGTTCTGTACAATGGCATGAGCACTTCCCTCTTTCTACTGCTAATACCTCTCCCTATACAACCAAGCATTCTGCTAGCATTTCCTGCTGCTCTATTACATTGTCTGCCTACCTTTAAGTCATCAGAAATAATCACCCCTAAATCCCTTTCCTCATATGTTGAGGTTAGGACTCTATCAAATATTCTGTACTCTGCCCTTGGGTTTTTACGTCCAAGATGCATTATCTTGCACTTAGCCACATTAAATGTCAGTTGCCACAATTCTGACCATTTTTCTAGTTTACCTAAATCATTTGTCATTTGGCTTATCCCTCCTGGAACATCAACCCTGTTACATATCTTAGTATCATCAGCAAAAAGACATACCTTACCATCAAGACCTTCTGCAATATCACTAATAAAAATATTAAAGAGAATGGGTCCAAGTACAGATCCCTGAGGTACCCCACTGGTGACAAGTCCAAGCTTCGAATATATCCCATTAACTACAACCCTCTGTTGCCTGTCACTCAGCCACTGCCTTACCCATTCAACAATATTGGAATCCAAACTTAAAGATTGCAGTTTATTGATAAGCCTTCTATGTGCAACAGTGTCAAAAGCCTTACTGAAATCTAGGTAAGCAATGTCTACTGCACCACCCTGATCTATAATTTTAGTTACCCAATCAAAAAATCAATAAGATTAGTTTGGCATGATCTCCCTGAAGTAAACCCATGTTGTCTCTGATCTTGAAATCCATGTGTTTTTAGAGTTCATCAATCCTATCCTTTAACATGGTTTCCATCACTTTCCCCACTACTGAAGTAAGGCTTACTGGCCTATAGTTGCCCGACTCCTCCCTATTACCTTTCTTGTAAATGGGCACAACATTCGCTAACTTCCAATCTTCTACTACTCCTGTTAACAATGATTGGTTAAATAAATCTGTTAATGGTTTTGTTAGTACACCACTAAGCTCTTTTAATAGCTTGAAGAGCCTGATGGTTAGATGGAAGGGAGAGATTTGTAATGGCAAGTAACCTGTTCCTCATTAGGTGACGGTGCCATGGGAAAGGCAATGTCCCAAGAAGACCACAGAGGGCCGGCACCACTGGAGTTTCTACTTGGAGGCTTTACAACCTTCTTCAGCGAGACAACAAAGGAGATCTTCGGAATTCTGTTCAGCAGTTGGAAAATCATCCGCACAGAGAAGAACATCATCTACATACTGGAGCAGGACCACGTCTGGGTGGGACTTCTGCCAGGGTTCTAAGACAGCTGACATAGCTTTGGCGAATTGGGTTGGGGAATTTTGTGCACCTTGAGGCATGACAGTCCAAGTATACTGTTGACGATCGTGTGTGAAAGCAAACAGATATTGACAAGAGGGATCCAAAGGCACGCTGAAAAAGGCATTTGCAAGATCAACCACCGTGAAGAATTTAGCTGTTGGAGGGACCTGTGACAACAGTGTATTTGGATTAGGGACAACGGCAGTATCACGGTGTGACGAAGTGCCCTTCGCCACTTGTGCCTGGAGAGGACTGCTTGCCCGCCTCTTGCCCTGTGACTATGGCCCCTGGGATGTATTGCCCTTTAAAGACATGATTTGGGCATAATGGTTTGTGTTGTGCTGCTGCTGGCCCTTTAGGAACCATCTGGGGACATACTGTGGAGTTACTGGGTGGCCACCATTTCCTGTATCAGAAGCACATGGTGAGAACAATGGATGGCGGCCATTTTAACTCACAGACACTGTTTGGACTTTTCAACACGGTGCCATCTCGCTAGTATTTGGTGCACAGAGACATCGTGCAGTGGTTTTGGACTATACAGCAGGGGACACATTATACAGTGATTGTTTTTCATTTAGCCTGTATATGTTCTGCAGAATCTGCATTAAACTGTATTTTCCAAAGTACTGAACGGATCTGGGTGAATTTTGGATATGTGGTTCACCCAGATCCCCGGGTTCCAAGGATATACTTTTTATGGGGTTATTGCATGTTTTGGGGTCCCTGTGTGTTTTATGAAACTGTATTATTTCTGGCCAGCAGATAATTGAGCTTTGTGTATTGTAGAAACTCAATTATCTAGCCTGGCCCAGAGGAGGAGTTTGTGTTGCATAAATTGTGAGTTCTGTGTGCCAGTAAATCAGTCTTGTTCCAGCATTAAGCCTTGGCTCATGTTTGGGGGATTGGAGAAATACACTCTGGGGATTGCTATAATCACTATACTCCCCACGGTATGATCACTAAGTTCTGCTAAGAGCTTGTTCCTGTTCCTGCTCTCTGGGAAAAGAGAGGTTCACCCACTGGAAGCTGGATCCTGGCCTTGGGTCCAGGGTGGGTGGAGACAGCAGAGACCCCAGCGCAGTTGCATCGCTGGAAGTGGGGTCTGCAGTGCTGATGGTGTCGGTTGGAGTGCTTGGAGTCCTCAGCGAGCACTAGGAGCATTGATTGGCGGAGGTACTCAGTCGGAGTGCCAGCGTTCCGTCACACACGGTTTGTGACTTCATTAATAGCGCTGAGGTCTTGGACCATACGGTATTGGTCAGGTTGACGTTTTTCAGTTTTCTTCCTTACTGGAAATAGAGGGGTGTTACACTGTGGTACACACTTGACCAGTGCACCTTTTGCCAACAGGTGCACTGGTCAACTTGTTTGGAGATGGCGAGAGCTTGTGCAGGTTTCAATGGGTACTGTGGTCTTCGTGGTGGATTAGCTCCCTTAATTAGTGTAACTACCACAGGTGGGACTCGTAGGCGTCCAATGTAATCTGGGCCCGTGGACCAAAGTTTAGTTGGAACCCTATCCAGGGCACTGGGGGCTTCTGGGTCCCTTGCCTCCTCGTGGGGGATGTCATATGTAGTAGTAGGGGCAGAGAGCAAAGGACAGAAGTATCTTTGCGAGAAAGGGGGATAAGTAATTGAACTTGGCCATCAGCAGTAAAGGAGATAGAAGCTTAAAGACAAGACAGAACATCTGCTCCTAAAAGGTTAATTGGACAAGTGGATGAGACAACAAACAGAGAGAGAATGTCAGTACCAACCCACAAGAGCTTAGTTAATGGGTTGTTTCGGGGGGTACCATCAACACCTACACAAAAAACATCTGTGTCGGATAGGTAAGATGGGTCAGGCAGGTCTTGTTCTCTGAGAACACTGCAGGCTGCAGCTGTGTCAACTAAAAAGGTAGTAGGATGACCCTCAACTGGTAGGACAACTGTAGTGAGAGGTCCCCCCTTGTCCCCTGTAGACACTGCCATGACAGGGGTGTTAGACACAGGTTTGCCGGTTACCTATTGTACAAGGTCTAGATGAGATTGATCAGGGCCAGTGTAGTGACGTGCTGGTGTGGTGGAGTGGCTGGCCTGATGGGTTTGACGTGTAGGGTGATAATGACTGGGGGCAGGGCATTCATCTTGTTGGAAATCATCTGTATCGTAACTACCAGGGGAAGGGTGAGAATAGCTGCGGGGTGGGGGGTGAGTATCAGATGGAGAGGGCTGGTAGACAGCTTGGGCATATTCCTGAGGAGGGTAATATGATGTATGTGCCTGAGGATATGCCTGTGGAGTGTAACCTGGTTGGAGACCACCATACGTGGCTGCAGGGGCATTGGGGTACATAGGTGGTCTAGTGGTCGGCTGTTTAGGCACCCTGGGGTGTGGGCAATCTCTCCGGAAATGGCCTGGCTGGTTAAAATTAAAGCATGCCCTGGTCTGAGGACTAGGGGCGGGTGTCATGTGCTGCCCCTGTGCAGCTGGCTGGGTAGATAGCACGGGATATCCTGGGGGGACCGGGGCGGGTTTGGTGGCAGGGCTAGAAACTTTGGGTGGGCTGTAGAGCAGATTCTAGGCCCTTGGCAACTAGTAACAGAGTGTCCAAAGGAATAATTCTGTATTCAGGGCGAGAAAGCACTAAGCCTTTCCTGATGGCTTCCTTAAGGCCAGCAACAAAGGCAGCAGATAACATCTGGGTATGTGCTTTGTTGTATACACTGAATCCGAGATCGGAGAAAGTTTGAGTCAACCGTGAATGGTATTTTTCCACAGATTCGAGTTTGTCTTGTATAATGTCATTTATACAAGTAGCATGGTCAGTTAGTTTATCCTGGGCCCAGGCCCGAAGGTGTTCACAGAATGTAACACCTGACTGGAAATCTGTATCGGTAGTGAGGAAAGCGTCATTAAAACTCCTTTCCATAATGAGCCAATAGGCATCCCCAGCCTTGATCTCACACAGACTATACAGATCACGCCAGGCTGCTGAGTATGTCTTACGAATCTGGGCAACCCTCCAGAAGAAGGGCATGGGCTGCTTCTCAGGGTCGGGAGAGAGGTTACTAGGGTTGCAGCTTGGGATGGGTTGAAAGTAACATACATCGGGGGAGCCCCTTCCACTGTTGATAGAGCAGGGATGTGGTTGGCTGGGGTGGCCTGTCTCTGGGAAACCCTATTATTCGAAAGACAGAATGGGCTAAGCCCTTGCACATTGCCAGACTTGAGGAATGTTTATTCTGAGGGGACGGCATGTCCCTTATAAAGCAAAATTACATCATATGCTTTGTCAGAGATAACATGGAATAATACATCAATAATTGGTTAGGTGTTAAGTGGTTCATTTAGTGCTCTTCCTACCGGGTGTGATGTCACTGGTATCTTGGAGGTCTCCCCCAGATTCCAGCGCCATCTTGTTAATGAGGGTGTTAGTCGATGTCAAAGGGAAACTCCCTAGTGGCCATTTTAGGTAAATCACATAGAAAGTTGAATAATGCTGATTGTAGTTATACTGAGTAAATAGGCATTTTACCAACATGGATTGGGTTAATATTTTTGTCCACAACACTCGCCAACATCAAGAATGGTGCGAACGCAATAGTGTGAACGCAACGACCCCTGCGATGGCCATGGTTGTAGGAACACATCTATTGCCTCACATTGTGGATATGGGAGCCAGTTGTAGTATCTCAGTAGTTATGTGTTCGTCCGTGATGCAAGCACGTCTATGTGGAGTGGTCCCCTGGTCGCCCTCAACATGGCAAATACTCATGTATCCAGACGCCAGTCGTGCTGTCTCGCCAGTGGAGAGAGAACCAGTCTACCGTGAGGTTGCTGATCTCTGGGAGATACTCTGCTCTGAATGTGATATTGCGGGAAAGAAAGAATCAATAAATGTCTCTTGTCACCTCCGTCAGGGCACGTGATCTGGCTCCGCCCAAGTGGTTTATGTATTGAGCTGCTGAGATATTGTCCATGAATAAGAGAATACAGCAATTGGACATGTTCTTGGCTAGACTGTGGATTGCTAATGATCCCGTAATCAATTCCAGGCAGTTTATATAAAGGTGCATCTCTTCCCCTGACCATGGGCCTCCCGTGAAGGCATGTGTGCAATGAGTTCCCCAGCCCCAAAGGCTGGCATCTGACTCCACTATGAAATCAGGAGTTGATCCGAAGATGGCTCTGCCGTTCCAGGCTTCCATGTGTAGTAGCCACCAACGAAGCTCTATTCATACCTCTGCTGAGACCGGTATCCAGTGGTCATACGAGTGTCCGGATCACAGATAATTGGCCTTCAGCTGATTCATTGCCTGTTAGTGCAACGGACCCTGGAAGATCACTTGGATAGAAGAAGACAGTAGTCTCACTACTTCTGTCTTTCTGATGTACACGTCG